TCGACGAGCAATGTACATGCTGCTTGTATACCGCGCGCACGCTTCGTGTCGACATGATTGCACCTCGATCACGTCCGGGGCCGAGTTCATAAACACTTGGCGATATTGATATCTTTGGCGCGCCTACACAAAAGGCAATATGCGCGACACACAGTGTGTTTCTATACCTCTGCGAGCCGATATATATTGCTTGACTTTGGGTTTGTAAGAGCAGGTGCAGTGCGCCTAACCCGGAATTGCTATTGGTGCCGCTGTGACGTGGGGCCAGGTGGCGTGGGGATTGCGGTATGGGACACGGACCGTCATATCCAAAAAGCGCTGATTATCACACGCCCATGACGTGATGAGAAGCCGATGATGGCCGCTTGAACGGCACAGACGAAGTGGATATTGCATATTGATGGGCAACGCGGCGAGATTGGCCAATACGAGTGCAATATGGGCGGCATTTCTCGGCGCTAAGATTGCAATAAGATCGATGGGCGGCAGGCGTCGCGTCATGCTGATGATGGACGCGGTAGTGATCTGAGCAAAGGGCTCATCAACACCCCTTTTCTCACTCGCCTGTATGTATTGCTGGACTACGTCGACGAGTCATACGCGTCAACTGTCCATAATAACTAGCGAAGGATCCGACTTCGAGAGCGGCACAAAAGATGCGGCGGCGATGGCGACAACCGGCGTCGGCGTATTCAACGCACTCACCAATTACTTACAGTCCCAAACCACTGGAAATGGCGCTGCATTAACGCATCAGCACGTTTATACCTCGCGCACCACGAACGATCGAGAGCCAAACGCAATCGGCAGTGGATTGATGAATGATCGTCATCAAACGACCAACGCTCTATCTAGATCTAGTCGTGCGCGTTCTCGGCCATCGTGTCCATGGACCGCAGGAGCGGCGTCGTCTCGCGCGCGTCGGCAAGAGCGCGCAGCTGCGGGAGGTCGGCGATGGATCCGTGCCGCGACTCTTGCGTGTAGAGCCGGCGCCGGGGCTCGTTGGGCTTTTGCTTGCCGAATTTGAGCTTGGCCCACGCCGCGAGGTTGGCCCACGTGTACTTGTGCTCGTCTTCGCCGAGCTGAAAGACCCAGAGAAGCACGGCGAGGCCGAGGTACACGAGGCAAAACTGAAACGACCACGGGGTCGGGAAGACGCCGAACGCCGGCTGTATCCCCGAGGCCTCGACTTCAAAGGCGTGGATGACCCCCGTCCCGCTCAAGATCGACGCAATGAGCATCCAGAGACTCGCGTAGATGAAGTCGCGCTCGATGATGTGCACCATCGTCGACGCCAGCACGATCGCGGTCAAGAGGTACCCCTACCCCTCGCACACTCAGCGCCCTCTCCTCCTATCCACTTTGATCTACCTGAGACAAGGCGATCATGCCGTTCGGGTTCAAGCCCGCGTCGCTGAGCGCCTCGACGACTCGCGTCATGTTGAAGCCGTTGGGCGACGTGGCCGTGAGCGTGTTTTGCACGAGCTGGAAGCCCCAGGCCGAGAGCGCGGGGACCATGCCGAGGACGACGGCCGTGCCGTGGTTGCTCTCCTGCTCCTTCTTTTCAAAGCTGCTCGCGGTGATGACCATGCCGATCCAGAGCAGAAACCCGACGCCCGACGAAATCGGGATCGTACCAATGATCCACGGCGTGGCTACGACCATGTCGCATAAGATCTCATAGATATATACGTTCTGATATACCGTTGAGGATCGCGAGGAGCGAGATGCAGATGGCGTTCATGCCCAAGTACGCGTTGCGCGCGCCCATCGCCTTGTAGATCGGCTACGCACGCGTCAGAACACAGATCACCGATGCGACGTACGTGGCCAATGTAGACGCCCGTCGGGAACGGGTTGCCGAGGCACGCGCCGAGGATGGTCACGATCGAGTCTAAGACGATGGTTTCAGAGTTGACAAGCAGTGACAAGAGGTCGTACCGCCCAGCACGGACGTGATCGGGTCGTATTTGTCGCCGACGGCCGCCGCGGTCTCAAAGTTGGCGATCGCCGACATGACGTTAACGAGCACCATGGGCATGATGATGCTCATGTACTTCCAGCCGGCGCCGCTACGATATACCTTGGCACATGAACACTTTGGTGATGTACCTCGTGAGCGCGCGCCAGACGAGCGGCATGTCCACGTGCGGGCCCTGGAGATCGAGCACGTACGGCTGCGTCATGGGCACAAACTACGAGCCGGATGACACCGTGCGGATAGACTTGGCAACGTACGTTGGTCGACGCGCCCGTGTAGTACAAGACGAACGCGATGAGCGTGCCGAGGAGGAGCGACCCGAGACCCGTGGGCAGGTGGAACGGCAGCTTGACGCCGGCGCCGTAGCACACGAGCTAGCATATGCCATCAGATTGGAAATAAGAAGTCGTTTGTACAAAGAGGAAGAGCGGGCCGAGCGCAATGAGCGGGTTTTCCCAGATCTCAAACGCAAAGCCCATGCTGAGGAACGTGAGCGCGATGCCTGAGACGGACGCGAGGAGCGCGGCTTTCGGGATCGAGCGCTGAAGGAACGAGACGAACGGCAGTAGCGCCATCTGCAAAAGCGCGGTCCAAATCGCAGCAAAGAGCCCGGCCTCCCACGCCGCCTCAAAAGACTGCGTCGCCTGGTACTCGGGCGCCATGATCGAGAGGCCGTAGGCGAAGACCAGCACCGTGTTGACGCCTTCGGGCAGCCCCGTGACGTCGTTTCGACGCTCGTCGCGCGCGAGGCGCCAGCCCGCAAACGCAAAGTAGCAGTTGCCCATGGTCGTTGTAAAGGCGGCCGCGGGGATGATGCGCGTGGTCACGATCTCGACGGGAAGGCCGCAGTGCGCCGGCAGCACTTGGTAGATGATCATGAGCTGCAGAATGCTTTGCACCAGCATGCCCGAGAAGGCGTCCCAGTCGCCGGACGTCAGCGTCCACGAGCTCGCGCTCAGCATCGCATGCGATGGCACTTCGGCCGTGTCTTGAAGGTACAAGGCCGCCGAGTGCGCCCAGCCGCAAGCCACTTGGTGCATGCTCCTACACGATTCTCTGTTGTATCAAGTTGGCTCGTTGAAACGAATATACCGCTGGTGCAGCATCGCGATCGACGTCAAGTGGCGCTCGTTCGAGACGGTGCCAGTACCGAGCTCGCCGTCGCCGCCGCGGCCCCATGCAAACGTGTCACCGTTGACGCACGCGAGCGAGTGACGCCCACCGGCGGCGAGGAGCGTCAGGTTGACGTCGATGAGGGCCGAGCAGCGAACCGGGCGCAGGACGACGTCGGGCGACCCGTCCTTCTCGAGCTCGCCGAGCTGTCCGTACTGGTTCCAGCCCCAGCCGTACACGTCGACGTTGGGTGAGAAGCCGTCGATGCCCGCCGGCACGACCGCAAAACAGTGCCGGAACCCGCACGAGATCTGGATGACGCGCTTCCCGATGAAGGTCGGGATCTCGGTCGGCTGCCGCACCGTGTCCGAGTGGCCGAGCCCGAGCTGCCCGTAGAGCCCCCAGCCCCACGCAAAAACGCGGTTGTCGCTGGTCAGTGCGAGCGTGTGGCGGGACCCGCACTCGATCGCCTGGAACGACGCAACGTGCGGGATCGCGAGCGGCACGAGGCTGCACTCGGCGTCGGTGATGCCCAGCGCGCCGTCCTCGCCAGAGCCCCACGAGTAGAGCCGACCCTGGAGATCGATCGCCACCGAGTGCGCGCGGCCGCAAGCGACCTGCACAATGTGCTCGAGGTCCGGGACCTTGGTCGGCACGTGCAGCGACGTCTTGGTGTTGTGGCCGAGCTGACCTTCGTCGCCGCGGCCCCACGTGTACACGCTGCCTTCCTCCGAGACGGCGACGACGTGCGACCCGCGCGTTGCGACACGAGCGATCGCCACGTCATGCAAGTCATCGAGCACCCGCGGCTCGAGCTACGGCGCTTCTTAGCCACTGTGCGCATGCATGATGGGCATACCTGTGCATGGAGGCTGTGACCGATGCCGAGCTGACCATAGTCGTTCTTGCCCCACGCAAAGACAGCGCCGTGAATGGACACGGCAACTGGATAGTACAGAGACGACTTAGTGTTGGTCAAGCTGCTAGGACCGTACCCGTGAAGCGACTGCCACATGCGAGCTGCTTGATGGTCGTTCGGTCGAGGAGCGACTGCACGACGTGCGGCTTGATGCGCGACTCGCGATCGTTGGTACCGAGCTGGCCGTTGCCACCCCAGCCCCAGCAGAGCACGACGGACGACTGGGTCTCGGTCGGCGCGAGCGGAGTCTTGAGCGGCGAGAGCGAGCCCGACCGGCGGCTGCGGCGCGTCGGCGACTTGCTCGGCGACGACGTCGAGTGGCGTCGACCGTGTTGCGTCGGCGGTGGCATCCTGGCGTGTGTGGTCCGGAGGCAGGAGGCCAGTCCGTGTCAAGATCCAGCCAATCACAACTTGGATCAATTGCGATCCCACCAATGGGCGGCCGGTATTTTTACAGTCCACTTGGCACTTGCGGAAGGTGTCGAGACCTCCTGGCAAACGAGCCGCAAACAAGGCGATGCGGCTTCAAGTCGCCTGCCTGGCGCCCGCTCGAGGCACTCTCTGGATCGTACTTGCTCCATGTAAGCAACTGCATCCGGCTGTGGAGCACGATTCGGCAAACAGCCAGTGCGCTGCACTGCCTCTTTGTAACAGTATATGATGACCGCGCCAATATTAGTGTGTTCATTGAAGGCGTACGTGCACGCTGCCATGGGTCCATGCATGGGTCGATTATTGACCCATGACGCTGCGATGGTTGCTGGACGGGCGTGACGAGTCGTTGTCGCTGCGCCGCTCGTCACGTCTGGTTCCACCACGTTGCCGAATAAATATGCAGCCATCCACCAGCTTGACGCGCCCGGTTGGCCACGTCGGAAGGACGCGTGTCTTCCTCGCGGCGGTGGAATGCATCGTAGAAATGGGTGACGTCGTGATCGTGGTAGCGTCGCGCTGACGCTGCGAGGCGCTCAGCTGCGACGCGCAGGTCGCGTCAACCTCAGATTATTAACCTCTTTGAATCGTGGTCTTCCATTGTACAGGTTTACATGGCTGTAGAGCTCGTCGAGAACAAGGCTCATAAATACACTACTCGCAGTCCGCGCCGTAGTTCCAGTGCTACGGCGGGCGATGCGTCTAACACGCGAGGACGCGCCGGCGCTTGGTCTGACGGACCTGCCGAATGGCGCTCAGTCGGTGCATGAGCGTCGAGCTGTCGAGGTACTCTTCGCGCGTCGCTGCGGCTTGGAAGAGGATCGACTCGAGCTTCCGGGCGAGGACGGGCAGTTTCTGGCGCACGATAGCCGGCGCGTGCGGCTTGCACCCGGCGAGGAAGGCCACGAGCTGCTTCTCGACGACCGCGCGCTCGGTCGCGACAATGTCGGCGCGCTGCGCGCTGAGGCAGCACGCGGCGAGGAGCGAGTGGAGGCCGGCGTCGTCGTCGAACGAGAAGGGCGTCTCGACGAAGCGGCGCTTGAGGCGGGGTTGAAGACAGGGCATGGCGAATTGCAAACTGAAAACTGAGGGCAGCGGCGTGGCCGTGCGACACATGGCCGATGAGCCACCGGCGTGTCAGCGCTACTCACGCCGCCCGCTTGATGCGAGCGCGTCACGCTCGCCCGAATATCACATTCGGTGGCGTTTTTGTCGTAGGCCCCCTAGGTAAAAATGATTTGAAAGGACCCTCGTGGCGCCGGCCACCGACACAGCCAAGCAATGGGGCGTTCATTGGCGCCGCCACCAGTGATAGGTCGCCGCGCGTGAAAGTTTGGCATAGCTCGGGCTCGGTCGAATGGCCCAGCTGGAGTAGCTGGTCCGATGGCAAGGTCGCGGAAGGTCAAGCCGCGAGGTAGCGCGGTCTGTTCGACTTCGAAGAACGGCGTCCGCGACGACGCGTTAGGGATCGGCACAGTACGTCGTGTACTGTAGGAAGACCTCCAGTCGGTGGATCGTCTATGGAAGCTCCGCCGACATTTTCTGCTGCCGCAGCTTGTCGCGACGCTTTTTCGGGTGGCCCCCCTCGTGATTGGACTGGGGCCATTGGTGCGAACGGCTTGACCTTGCTTGAATTTGCTCTTGGCCAAAGAACCGAGCAGCTCGTGTAGAGGCCAGGTGGTGTGACGCAGGCGCCGCGTCGATGCGCGCAGTATCTAGCGCAGTTGCGTCGGATCGTCGACGCGCCCGACCCTCGCCTGCCTGTCCTTGACGTTGAGGAGGACGAATTCTCAGCAGACGCGCTTCGTAGAGTTACGCCAGGCAGCACCCAACGTGTAATCGCGCCGTGTAGCTGCCATTGCCGTCACGACGACGTCCCACCATTCATATGCCCGTGACGCAGCATTGTACATGGCCACTGGGTCATTATGTCGCATGAGCATCTCAGGTCCTCGACCCAGCGACGTTTTCCAACCCAGGGCAAGGGTCACGGGTCACGAGCAGCGAATACAAGGAGCTGGCCACAGAAACTTCTGCCTCTATGAATTCGTTTGTGGTCGCGTAAGGCAGCGTGGCAACAGTTGTCCGTCACTCTCGCGACAACGTAGGCTTGGACTAAGTCTGCAATAAGATCGCCAAACAGGCGCCAGTGGTTATCACTCGTGTATTTTTAGCTCGACCGATGGTGCAGACGCCGGCGGTGGACGCGCGGGTCGAGGAGAGAGCGGCCGAGGTGCGGGCGGGCTTCCCGTCGCCGCGGTCCTCACGCGCCGTGCTCGACTCGGCGCGCCGACAGCAAACCGAGCGCACTTTGCTGCGATCGCCCTCGTCGCCGACGCGGCAGCCAACACGGCGCGTCCTGGACGAGAAGAGTCAGCTCATGCTCGAGGTGCTCCAGGACTATGGCCCATACTCGCCGCGAAAAGAGTACAGTTGCCGGTCGCTGCCCAAGCCCCGCAGCGAGGACTTTGTGCTGCGGCACAACGCCCAAAACATCCACGATTTCAAGCAAGCGTACTCGAAAGCGCACGGAACGCTCAACCGCAAGCCGCCGCAGTTTGCGCTCAACTGCCCCCCCACGAGCCCGTACGCCAAGCGCCCGCCGTCGCCGCCCCACCCGCCCGCCGAGCCCATTTGGTCAACGATGACGATGGTGCGCGCGTCCTCTCACGTCACTTGTAGGAAGCAAACTGGGCCTAACGTGTGGGTTCTCACCGAGCACGGGCTGCGGTCCCTCGTGGGAGTGGCAACGCCGCACGCTGCGCCGCCGCGCCTGCTGCCGTCCATCGCCAAGCGGCCGCCCGAAGCCTCGTCCTTCAAGGCCCACGCCCAAGTGGGATCCCACATCGACCTCTCCAAGGACACTGCGTTTGCGAGCCTCGTGCGCCTGCACCACTACTCGCCACGGTCGACGCCGCTGCCGCCGTCTACAGCCCACGCGCGCAACGCTGCCTACGCGCTGAGTATGCTCGCGCGACCAAATACTTCTCCGGACGTTGGCGGGAGTCCGGGTAGCGGCGGTCACCGGCCAATGTCGTCGGAAGGCCGCTATGGCTTCTTTGCCACGTCGTCGCCGCCGTCCCCGTCCCAGTCACCGCTGCGGTCCCCCAAAAAGTCGCCGACGAAACCCGAGCAGCACTGCCCGCCGATTGCGCTCAAGCATTTGTCGCTCATGGAGGTCGAGCCGAGCATCATCAACTTTGACCGCGTTCGCCGGGGCCAGACATATCACTTCCCCATCAAGGTATAGTTGGCTACCGCTACATGAGGCACAGAAGGCGGTTCTTAGATCCGCAACTTTGGCACCAAGCAAGAGCGGTTTCGGGTCCGGTCCATCGCCCTCAAGGCAGGCGGCGCCGAGTGTTCGTCGGTCACGGTACTAACGTCGCTCGATGCACTGCGCCTGCAACGTGGATAGGTCGAGTACGACCGAGAGAAGGCCAAGATCGCACCCGGACTCAGCGCGACGCTGCTTGTGGTTGCCACGTTTGACCGTCCGGGCGCTATCTCTGGCGTCCTCGACATTGAGAGTCCGAGCGGCAAGTGCGGCCTCGCAGTCATCGGCACCGTCGAGTCGTAACAAGTATGTAGTTGTCATAAATAAACGAGTTAGAACGTGCGCAGTCTATAACCAATCTTCGTTCGATGGGTCTCGCTGGGCCGAGCGCGACGACGCGCTGCTGCCCGTGCTGCTGTACACGGCCGTCGAGGGCACTTGGGACGGCGCGTACTTGAGGCCTTGCAGCTTGAGCAGGATATCGCGGCGCTGGCGGAGGATCTCGGTCAGATCCACGTCCGACTCGCGGCTGCTGTCGCTGAGGTTCGAGAACGTCAAGTTCCGCCGGCTGTGGCTCGTGTTGGCGCGGCCGACGCCCACGACCGCGTCCGGGTGGACCGAGATGTTGGGGTTCGCCGGTAGTTGTAGCTGCCACGCGTTGAAGTGCGAGATGCGCTTGTACTCGAGCACGGTCTTGACCTCGCCCGACGCGTCAATCTCGTGCTGCTTTTGGCAGTTGATGCAGAAACCAACGCGGAACGGGTTGCCCTTGAAGTCCATGCACGTTTCTTCCTCGTCCGGGTCCTCAACCGGCTCGCCCCACCGGGCGTGGATGACGCCGGGCGAGTCGGGCGGCGTCCCGAGGATCAAGTCGATGTCGATGCTCATCTGCAAATGGCCAAAATTAGCCACCGACGTGATAAGGCGTTGGCCGTTCAACGTACCATTTCATCGTTGGTGTCGGACCGGTAGAACTCGCCGTTGCGCTTCTTTATGGGCATGCTCGTGTACTTGAAGCCCGAGCGCGAGTTGCCAATCTCGAGCGTGCCCGCCTCCTGCACGATCGGGAACTCCGAGTCCTTGCGCTTGTAGTTGAACGAGAACTTGGACGACTTGCGCCCAGCGCTGCCTGTCGACGACGACTTTGGCCGGCGCGCCATCTCTTCGGCGTGGCTCGCGGACGACGGCTGCGTCGAGTCGGTCCAGTGGCGCTGCTGCAGTTGGTGAGCTTGGCACAGCTTTGACGAGCGTACCTGGCGCTGCTGCACGGAGGACATGGAGTCGGTGTTGACATGCTCGAGGTTGATGCGCGCGCACGAGTTGCCCATGATACCGAAGGCGATGGGCGGCTGGTCGGCGGCTTGCTCGCAAGTGGCAGCTCGGCCCACCACACTGGACCTTTTTTCGTTTCTAGATTTGTATGCACTCTATCCGGATCCGGACCAGCCTGCAACCAGCTGCGCGCAACTTCGTTTCCTCAGCTCCTCAGTCGACGCCAGCTACTCGTACACTGTACTGGCGCTGCGTGCACCTTGTCCGCCACGTAAATATGTACCGTGTACGCAGCTGCATTGCCAAGTCGAGAGACGCTGGCGTGCGACCGCGCGTGGCCTAGAATTGCTGCCATTCAAGCTGATTCAGAGTTAGTCGTTTAGTCGGTCGCGTGGTAGAGGGCCGGATTGTGTTCAGGATGGGACACGTGACTTGCAAAGTGTACATCGCTGCGAGGCCGCGTTCTCATTTGCGGTCGACTAATTATTCGTAATGTTGCGGCGCGCACGCCAGGCCACCACAGATTATTTGCCGCCGAACGCGCGGGCCGTGGCGACTAACTAATAACGTTCGACTGGCGTTCGCTCGAGGCGGCGCAGCAGCTCAAGAGCGTAGCTGGGCTCTGTGTGAGTAGCAACCAACGTGTAGGAGACGCGACAGCTATCGTGTGTCTCGCACGATGGGTTCTCCGCTTTTGTTCCTTCACGGTGAGTCTCGTACTAGTATAGTACAAGCGGCTAGTAGATATAGGACGACCTACTGGGTGCTGTACCTGCGCGAGCGAGATGACGTTCACGGTGCTTCTTGCGAGGGCGAGATGCGTGTGGACTTGAAGTCGTTTCCTGCAGCGCGGAGAAGCCAGTCTTCGTAGAGTGGCGCCGTGTATCATCGAGACGGCGCGGCTGGCAGATCGCCACTGCGACAGCGCAATGATCAACTCCATGTGTACTTCGTCGACTAACTAAGCCTCGTGCAGTACGACGATGTAGGAGTATTCGAAGTGTTCCAAGTTGCATCGCCACGACCGCGTCGCTATGCATCCAGACAAATAGAAGCCGCAGCTCGTGTGTAGCGTGCACAAATAAGCGAACTGCACGACGAGCAGATCCCTCCCGCTTTAGTCGCTATGAATCGACTAAACCTTAGCTAGTCGAATTCGTCTGACGAGCGCGAAGTTCGCGCGCTTCTGCCGCACAAATCGAGATTTTGTATTAAATAGCTTGTTTTTTGTATGCTGAATAAAATATATATACGATGGCGGCGTAGGATTGGTCCGCAGTCGTGGCACTGGTTGGATCGCGCGATGGACTCGGGTTGGGACTTGGTGTCGGACGACGGGCCCGACGACCAGCTGCGCGTCCACGTCTGCGACGACTGCGGCGCGAGCTTCACCAAGAACGCCCACTTGCTCCAGCACCAGCTGAGCCACACCGGCGAGCGCAACTTTGTCTGCCCGCACGACGCCTGCGGCAAAGCCTACCAACGGTACGTCGCCGCGTACGCCTCGCCGCCCACGCATGCAATAGGAAAGACCACTTGGTCCGGCACGTCAAGGCCGTGCACGAAGGTACGCGCCACGACCGTACGATGGCTCGGAGGCGACTTTATCCATAGACACGAAGCGGGCCCACGTCTGCGACCGATGCGGCGCCGCGTTCGTCTACAAGCATGGGCTCACGAGGCATGTAGCCGCAGCGCACGACAACGCGGCGCGGCCGTACGTCTGCACTGTGTGCCAAGCGGCGTTCAAGAAGAAGTCGGGACTTCAAGCCCACGCCTTTGTCCACACAGGCGTTATACCGTTCCCGTGCCCTGAGCCGGGATGTACGGCGGCGTTTACGAAGAAGTGCCTCCTGACCAAGCACACGCTCTCGAGCCACAGCGGCGCGACGCTCACGATCGGCCTTTCCGACGTCGACGTCCATTTCACGTGCTTGGTGTGTCACGCGACGCTGAGCTCGCGCAAGACGCTGCGCGAACACGAGCGGTTGCACGAGGGCGCACCGACGCGGTTCCCGTGTCCCGACTGCGGCAAGACGTACCTCTCCAAGACGAACCTCAACTCGCACACGCGCACCGTGCACGAGCGCGCGCGGCGGTTCGCCTGCGACGTTTGCCTCGAAGTCTTCACGTACAAGCACGTGCTCAAGCGGCACATTGCGAGGTACCACGGTGACGTCGACCCGCAGCTCCGCACACCGCGGCAACGCCAAGGGCTCTCGCAAGACAAGATCCGAGCGCGGCTCTTGGGTAGCCAGAAGATGGAGCTACCAGTGTTGGCGCCGCATGACGACGACGACGGGCTGTGGATGCAGGCGCTCGTCGACGGCATCCAGACGAATGACATGTCTCCGGAAGCCGAGATGATTCCAAATCTCAAAGCCGAGATCGCTCCGGACGTCAAGCCCGAATCGACCAGTCTCGCGACGATAGAGTTGTTGAAATAGTGCTAATACAATCGTTAGCTATTACGCCTGTCCACCTACGGCGCCATGACCGCGAGGTCGTCCAGCGGAATCGCGTAGTGGAAGCGTCGCTGTGTGAGGAGGTCGAGCTCGCCGCGGTAGCTCGGCTTGCGATGAAGCCGCCACAGCTTGATGTCAAAGATGTAGAGCGACTCTTGCCAGTAGACCGTGAGGAGGCCCGCCATGGCGGCCGACGCTTGGTCGACGTATACGCCGCCGTTGACGCACCAGTGCTCGAGGTATAGCATGTAGTAGCCTACCGAGCTCAAGAGCGCAGTCGGCAGCACGATCTTGTGCCGGTGCCGGTGCGCCCAGCACTCGTACCGTCCGGCGAGGCCGACGCAACAGAGCACCAACGCGCCGTCTGCAGCGATGCGCACGACGTTGCCAATATCGATGGTTGCGCTCGAGCACGAGAGCGCCGCGTCCATATCGACGTAGACGCACGTCCGGCGGAGCGTCGCGACGTAGCCTTGCGGCCACGCTAACGTAAAGACGACGGCGCAGACGTACGTCAAGAACGAGCTGTGCGTCGCGTAGTGGGGCGTGCGCTGGTGCAAGAAGCAGCTCAAAAGGTCGTTGACGATGTAGACAAGCCACGTGAGCTCCGAGGCCGCGAGGAGCGTCGTGTACCATGGCAGCGGCGGCGACGCGAGGCGCGTGCCTGCGTGAGGCGTCAGGGTCAGGGTCAATGGCGTCGTGTTGAGAAGCCACATGGCCGTGATGGACCGGAGAACCAAGAGCGGACGCCCCACCCACACGTGCCCCACGAGCCGGTTGATGTCAAAGAGGCTCCAGCCCTCGATACGGCCGCGACACGCGAGGCTGTAGACGCTGAGGACGCCTGACAGCACGATGAAGACGTACGTGACGTACGTGGCGCACGCATGGAAGAGATATGCAATCTGCGTGGGCACTTGGGACGGGTCGAGTGTCACTGTGGCGGGGTAGATGGCGCTCGAGAGGAGCGGGAGCGTGCCAAAATCTCCTTCGAACGCGACGACTTCGCGAAGCCCGATCGCCCACTCGTAGAGAAAACACCAGCTATAGAAGCTCCAGTTGCGGTCGTCGTCGTCCAAGAGGTGCGCTTCGTACAGCGTCTGCTCCGTCGTTCCATTGATTGGCTGCAAAAACTGCACGAGGCCAACACCGATGGCTCGGACGTCCGCGCGGACGGCGATCGTCGTTGCCGCGAGCGACTGGAATGTCGTCAAGTTGTACGTACTGAGAAAGTGGATGTGCGCCACGTAGAGACCCGCGCACGTGGCTTCGACAAACACGTCTTGGCTGCAAAAGTCATCGGCGTCGACGAGGTTGGCGTTGACGTCAAACGCGAGCAGTGCAAAGAGCAGCTGGGCGGCCGTTGGCGACATCGCCTCGCTGTACCACCAGTTGCAGAGGTTGTTGACGCCAAACGACATGAAGAGGCCGAGCGAGGGCTGGGCGCCGGCGACGACACCGCCGCACAGCAGGTCGCCGCCGACAATGTTGACGTCGGTTTGGTGCAAGAGGCGATGCGGCATAGGCCCAAGGAACGACTTGATTGGCAGCTGCGAATACTTCAGTGCTGCGTGGGGGTCTGTAAACAGCAGCATTGAAAGCGTATGCGAGAAGGTGCCGAGGTACGTGATGAGCGACGCCGGACACGGGACGTAGTTGGTATCAATGGCGCCGAACGGCCCGAGAGCGGTGACGACGGGGGCGAGGCCGGCGGGCAGCGGCGACGCGAGCGAGCCGTTGGAGCGCAAGACGGCGTCCGGTGTCGTGTTGGCATACATAAAGTTGGCCGACGTGCGAACGAGACTGCTTCCGCCAACGCCGGACGCGTTGCTTGCGATAGCCCAAAAGTCGTTCGCGGGCGCCCAGTACAAGTGCATGGACGTTTGCATGTCCAAGCGGAACGACCCGGTGAACGTCGTGAGTGGCAGCGAATACGCAGTGCCGAGCGCCGTCGCCAGCACCATCGCGTCTTGAAAGCCCGTGAGTTTGAAGTTTTGCCACTGCAGAACGAAGCTGTCGATACCGTGCGCGTGCCAGTAGACCACTTCATCCGGTATTGCGACGCCGCCGGTGGCAACCGATGCTAGCCAGCGCCGACCCGCCTCAGACTCTTGCAGGTGCGAAGCAAGGCCGATGTCGAACGAGTCTCCCCAGCAGCGGTGCCACGCGTCCCAGTCGCCAAGATTGCGCAGCGGCGCCTCCAAGTACACAGCGCCGTTCGGTTTGTATCTTGTGCTGCAGCGCACGTGACGCGCCGCCGTCGCAGCCATCGACCACCGCCGGTCAAAGTCGACAAAGCAGTATTGCGTAAACATCCACGGCAGGTTGCACGGGTTCATCGAGCGAAGACCCGCGATGACACCCTCCAAAGCAGCATCGGGCCGGAAGAGCTCGCGCCGCGCCAGCGTTGGAGGCCAAAGCACGTTAGTGTTTGTGCCGCTGTAGTTGGCGCCCACGTCCCCGAGCGACGGACTGTCGAGCAAGAGAGTAGTCTTGGACGCGAGGAGAAGCTCAAAGTTGACGCGCTTGGCGAGGTAGACGTGCATGCCTGACGTGTTGAAGCCGGACCAGCCAAAGTCGTTGGAGAGCCCGGTCGCGAGGACACCCAAGTAGGCAATGTTGTTAGAGAGAGTAAACGCGAGGTACACGATGCCTCCGAGCGCAAGGCTGCGATGGAAGAGTCGTCGGCTGCGCTTGTCCACTGGTTCTGGCGCCGGCGGCAGCGCATCTTGGAGCAGCATCGACGTTGGCGAGTTGGGCGTCGGTCTCTGTACAAAGAGCCAGAGCTTGCTATCAAAGAGCCTTTGCTCCGACGTACGAAAGATCCCACTCATAGCCAAGACGGCGTCATCTAGCACGGTCGTGTCCTCCAAGAAGGTAAGTGCTGCCCACGAAAGGTACGGCGAGACCTCGATCAGTTTCCTAGCCGGCTGCGGCGGCTGCAGAGCTGCTGCGACCATCGTCCCGAGACCGGCGACGAGTACGATGATTGCGATCCACAGCGCTCGATACCAGCTCCCGATATCCACCGAGCCGCTATTGCAGTACACCATTTGATCCATGTTCACAGTGTGGCAGCTGCGATATAGCGTCGCCGAGACTTGAACTGGCGACAAGACGTCCAAGAGAGCTATACAGACGCCACAGAGAAGTGTTGCGAGTGGCGCCACCCGCTTGAGCGCGCCAGGGCGACAGATGGGCGCGATGAGCTCATGCACAACGTAGAGAAGCCAGTTGGCCTCATTCGCGAGGAGACATGAAGCAAGCGGGGACCGCGACAGGATGCTAAGGTAGCTCAGTGCCGGCTTGGGCGCCGCTGTGAGCTCGCTCGTGGCCAAGATTGCCACTGCCGTCGCGCCTCGAATAATGACTGCAACGCGCGTCACCCATACAGCGCTCGTGATGCGGTTGAAGAAGAAGAGGTCGCGGGCGCGGTGGCGTCGACGACGCAGGATTAGGACCATCACGCCAAGTAAAACGAGCCAGAGACTCACTGTCGACGAGAGGACGCACAGGTATGTGCCCAGCATCGCAGACGGTGGCGTGAACGTCGGGGGTATAGGCGTATACGCCTTGGAGATGGCGACGATCTTCTGCACGTCTCCTTGGAGCGAGAGCACCTCGCGCGCGTTGGTTGCCCAGTCGTAGAGCATCATGGCGCCGAAGAAGGACCAGGACGGGTCGAGAATCTGCTGCAGCTGGATCTGCGGCGCGCCAGTGGCGTTCGCCGAAGTAAACACGTATTGCGTCAGCGCAATCGGTGGCAGCGACGATATCGTCATGTTGCCGAGCGACAGCGTCTGTGCTGCGGCGTGGGTGCGTCCCAAGGCTGCGTTGCAGGCCATTGCTTGCGCGCTGGGACACTGGGCACAAATGGCGCCGGTCCATGTGCCGTTCGTAAAGGCGACGGCGAAGAGGCTCCGCAGCGGGTCCCACGGCACTGCCAGCGGCATCTGCGTGCTGCACGCATCGTCGTAGCCAATGGCCTCCTGCACGTACGTCTGGCGCGCCCCCGTGAGGCAGAGCAGGTTCCCGCCCGCAAAACGCAGCGACGGGTCTTGCCATTGCCGTGGTGTCGGCGTCAAGACCATAGCATTGTCGCCGGCTAGAAGAAAGCGTTGAAGCGCAGGGTTGACTTGCGCGCCTGCAGTGACAGCGCTCTGGAGCTGACGCACGGCAGCCACGAGTGCGGCCGGTGGTGGAACCCAGACGGCGTCGATGGCCCCGAGGAGACCGACCTGCGCGTGCAGCGCGGCGGCCAACGCGCTGAGAGGACTGCCGTTGTTGTACGTCTCGATCAAACTCGGGTTGTCGTCGGCCCAAAAGGTCGGCGTGCTTCGAATGAAGCTCATGTTGGGCTTTAGCGCGTACAAGTCGTCGTACAAGAGGCCGTACAAGTTGCTCGTCGTCCAGTAGAGCGTCGGCGACACCTTCTCGATCGCCTTGATCGGGTACGCGTACTCGACGTTGAAGACGTTGCGCAAGCGAATCGTCTCGAGGAGTCCCGTGCGGTCGCGGTTGCCGTACTGCAGCACGAACCGACGACAGCCGTGCGCGGCCCAGAGCGCCACCTCGTCGGCCGCAGACATGCGCTTGTGGGCGTAGAGGGCGGCGACCCACTCTGCTCCGTCGTGACCCGTGTCGGCGATCGGCTGTGTAAAGTAGGCCTCGAATCGCCCTTGGGTCAGCGCAGCGAACGCGTTGACGTCGGTGTTGCGCAAAACAGTCTCCATGTACACGGCGGCGTTGTCGCTCTGGAGGCGCTCGTCGTGCTCTTGGGGGTGCTGTGTTTACTGGCTGTCGTGGTGGCGTTCGTGGTCCGCTTGTTGCTGCTGTGCGTGCTTCGTGTGGTCTTGGCTTGTTGCTGGGTGTCGGTGGCCGTGGGCTGCGTGGTGGCTTGCCGTGTTCTGGGTGAAGCTCGTTGGTCGCGGGTACACCGGCGAGAAGCTGCCGACGACACTTGGCGCCAAGACTGCCTGCGTGACGTCCAGTATTGGCTCAGCGGCCTCGAGCACGAGCTTGTTATTGAAAACAGCGGCGAAGCTCGCCGACGAAGACGGCAAAGTCGGCCAGAAGAGGTCATTGGCGAGGTACTCGGACGAGAGAAAGAGCGCAACGACGCTGAGACCCATCGAAGCCACGAGGTACATGACGCCTGCCACGTCATACATGCGTGCCCAGCGCGACGCCTTTACGGCCACGAGCGTCGAGGGCATGTCGATGCGAAACGGTGTCGCCTGATGACGCAATCGTAACCGTCCGACCGATCATTTGTGACGTCGCGGTGGGCGAGATGGCGCCGACGAGAAGCCAAGCCAATCGAACGTACTACTCACAGCGGATGAGCGGATGGGCTCGTGGTAACGTGACGTGCAGCCCAATACCACTGGCATTCCTCTAGGACTCGCCAACGCCAATATGGTGGGTGGCGCGTCACCACCACCGACTTTGCACCCGCAAGTACGTTCAAGTGAGTCTTCACGTACGTATCTACGTGGTACCTCGTAGTTGTACTGGCAGCCGTGCGTGGGTATGACGATGGGTGCGCGCATCTCGGGGAGCTTCGTGGAGAACATGTCCGCCTCTTTCTGGCCGTCCGTTTGGCACCATATGGCAATCCGTTGCATACGATGCGCGTTACTTGCGCGCTGCGTCGACGCTGGCTCTGGCCGTGCTCGTGAAAAGCAAAGCAAATCGATGGTTTCTGCCACTGCACATGCAGTGCTCGCGCCGCCGCCGGTGGTACTTTGATCCGAATGGCGACGAGTCTCACTTTTCAATTCGCTCTCGACGACGAATGCTGCGCTTTGCTGCGTTCTCGGCTGCGGCTGTCGTTGCCGCCGATCAGTGCTGTTTCAAGGACGGCGACGTCATCTCGCTCCGATCGGATACCGGCAACTACATTGGTCGCTGCAACAACTGCGTCGCGGGCGGCGCCTACAAGGACTCGGCCTTCGTGCACGTCAAGACGCCCGCCTCGTCGCCGTGGGCGCAGTGGACTGTCGTCAACACGGGCAACGGCAAGATCGCTCTGCGCGCCGACTCGGGCAAGTACTTGTCTCGATGCAACAACTGCGCGCCGGGGGCCGCGTACCCGGACGAAGCGTTTGTGCACGTGGACGACTGGACGACGGCGCCGTGGGCCCAGTGGACGTGCAAGGAGGCGGGCGACGGCAAGGTGGCGCTGCAAGCCGACACGGGCAAGTTCCTCGCGCGCTGCAACAACTGCGTCGCTGGCGCCTACGCTGACACCGCGATGGTGCACGCTACCAGTATCGGTGATGGCAGCTGGGTGCAGTGGACTATCGAGTCGGACGGCGCCTTTCGTGAGCACCGGTGCGCTGCCCCGACACGGCCCACGTCGACCGAGACTCCAATCCCGATCAGCCCGTGCACGGCAACACCTTCCCCGACGCCCGCGCCTACAACGGCGACGCCGCTACCAACAATCGTTCCCACTGTAGTGCCTTGCACCGACACGCCGTCGCCTGCGACAGAGACACCAGCACCGACGACGCAAACACCAGCACCGACGACAGGAACACCTCGCCCTACAACCGACGCGCCGATTCCGACCACGGCGACGCCAGTGCCCACGCCTGTGCCAACGATTCCGACGACTCCAGCGCCAAGCACGGTGACGCCAACGCAGACGCCTCCAGTGCCGACTACCGAGACGCCTGTTTCGCCGGTGCCCTCGACTGCGACCGTGGAGCCCACGGTAAC